TATATATATATATATATATATATATATATATATATATATATAAGAGAGAGAAAAAAACAACTAAAAAAGTTGCAAATTAAAAATAATGTTTTTTATGAAAATATTTTTGATATTTCAGATCAACCTCAATATTTCTGAAGAAAGATCGAGGTCAATCTGAAATATCAAATAAATATTTTCATAAAAAACATTATTATTTTTTAATTTGCTACTTTTCAGTTGTTTTTTATATATATATATATATATATATATATATATATATATAAAATGATAGACAGATGAAATATAGTTTTAAGGTATGCTATATTTATGGGTTAAAGTGCTCAAAATCAGGGATAGGGCATATGTAAATATAAAAGTGGACATTGAAGTAAACACCCAGAGGTGACAGTCTGTTTCATGCTAAACGCAATCAAGCAAGCTGTGTGTGTGTGTGTGTGTATATATATATATATATATATATATATATATATATATATATATATATATATATATATATATATATTGCTTATAGAATCATCTATATTTATATGGTTTTTAACATAGAAGATGTGCATTTATATAGACAGTGTGGATATCACCACTATGAAGTGTCAATTTTTGTCAGTTTCATGCCTCTTGATCTTCTGATCAAGAGAAAACATCTGAAGATCACATTGAAGTATGAAACCTACAATCAACATGCAATGTTGATTAATGTCTTTATAAAAAAATAAGGACTTAATGATGGTCACCATTGTTTCCATGGAATATGTAAATTAGTCAGAAATAAATAAAAAAAAAAAATAATTTACATAGATATTATTTATACAAGAAAAAGAAAGGCATATATAAAATAGATACAGATATTTACCTAGAGATGTGCAGAAAAATACAAAGCTGATATATAAACACAGATGTAAATATTCATTGGCATACACTTAGAAAAAAAATAAAAGAAATAAATGGCCTAATTTCTACAACATTAAGTCTTAATGCTGGTCTAGTGGCTTAACAAAGAATACAAATGATTCTGTTCCAGAAATGCCAATCCCCCAACTACCCTTGGTCTTTTTTTCTAATTCATTCAGCCATTGTTTCATTAGTCTGTCCAGTAGTTGACTCACATACAAGTTTCTTTATTACAATAGAATTCTCACAATTTTGGTTAGAATTTTTTAAAGATTATTAGGGTTTTTTTTTTTCCCCCCCGATTTATAAATGGCTCCAATAATTACTAACATCCACATTCTATAGGTTGGGTTTTATGAAAACCAGATTTGTTGGAAACTTCTTTTTTTCTACTTTGAAATATTACGGGGACAGAAAAACGTGAAAGAGAAAAATATGTTACTCAAAGCTGTTCCGTCAGTCATTAGTTGGAAATAAGCTATTAAAAGTCTTCATTAGCATTTAAATAAATTGAAGTGCTAAAAAATTAGAAAAAGCAACTTAAAAACATGAAAATCCTCTAGTATCTATCTATATTTCTGACATGAGATATTATGTACATTATTTACATTATTCAGACTATTGTCCTCATCTTTGTCACCAAGATCACCAGAAAGCTGTAACATGAGGGGAAATGGAAAAATCAAGCATGGCTGACCACATATGGAAAGAAAAGGGAGATCACCGCCCTCTGTGGGATCAGGTTGAGATCATAGACAGAGAACATCATTGGATATTTTGTAAACTTAAGGAATCAGCACATATGCTAGGCCACAAAAATCTCTTGAGCCGACCAAGCATAGAAATGAATACATTATAGGAACCAGTAATAAAGAGTGCCAGAGAAAAGCGATAACAGCAAAAATTGCAATATGAGCACTGGTAAAAAATGGTTGCTGAAGACATTAGGTTTATAATTCATACACAGATGTCCTCAAGGACACGTGGCACAGTGGATAAAGGCGTTAGTTAGATCCAGTGACGACCCAAAGAGTGTGAGTTCAATACCCGGTTAAGGCAGTGCAGAACTTTTAGAGGGAAATTAATAGGAGATAACTGATATCCATTAAGCATGGCACGTGGAACTAGAACAGTGAGTGACATTCCAACCGGAGCATATATGGCGACAAAGATGAGGACAATAGTCCGAATAATGTAAATAATGAAAATCAATAGTCCAAATAATCCTCTAAAAGCAGCTATAAAATGTACAAAGTGCTGTTACATGGATGCATCTACCCAAGCATGTTATGGAATTTTATTGTCTGTGAGACATCCAATGCATGCTCAATGGGGTATAAATCTGGAGAGTTTAAGTTAGTGTTCTGCTTATTGGATGTGACTGAAGTGAATTTAGTAAGATCTGCAACGTATGCACAATGCAGTGTAAATCTGGTGAGCACAGGGAACAATGGACTACCTGCAAGTCAGCCAATTGTTTCTGGAACCAGTTACATGACATCACCTCCTCCACAATGAAAATGTTTTGTTATCTTGCTGGAACAAAACATCACCACTGGGAAATATGGTGAGCATACATGTAAATGGTTTGCATCAAGATAGGATCCAGTTTAATTCAATGCTAATAGCAAAAGCAGCAAATGTTACAGGTCCCACATTTTCAACAGTTCCATATTAAATACTTTTAAACTGTTTGGCAATTTTAATGTTTCCATGTCAAGGATGCTGCATTATTTCAGGTAACATTATATTGAGGCCATTAAATCTACTCAAATATCTCATTAGAATCATTTACTTCATATTTTTCTGGATTTGTTTATGTCAACAGAATTGGATATTTACAGGTTTTATAAGCTCTACCCGTATACTGGTAAATAATTTCTGATTTAATACTTAGGTGTATTTTTTAATTTAGGGCCCATTTTGTAATGCAGGCTCTGCACTAGATTAATTCGGCCCTGGTTTCATTCGTGTAACAAATTCCAACAGGACAAACCCCATAAAATTACAAAAGCATCACTAGCTCACACAACACCCTGTTGGCAAGATGGCTGCATAGCCTAGTGTTGTTTCTTCCAACTACTAGTTTTTACTTGAAAGAGCTGGAAACATTGTCTAACCAGGTGACACAGTTCCAGTTTTCTGAAATTCAATTAAGTGAAGTTTTCAAAAAAGTTTGCAAAATGATATAAAATCATTATTGTTGTAGACCATCTTTTTAAAGCCAACTGGTTCCCTTAATGGTGGATGGGTTTTTTGATAGCTGAGCAAAGCAACAAAGAAACAGCAGTTTTCTGCTAGTAGGCCATCTGAAAAGACTTTGAACAGCAAGCAAAAGGATTCGATGATATCTTTGATGGTGTTCCTCTGCCTGTTAGACTAACATTGCTTCTGCGGTTTGAACAGCATCTATGGAGATACACTGCCTGATCATCAGCCAAATTTTCTCATTAGCTAGAGAAGATATTACAGGTTTTCAGAATGACCCTGACATAGTCCCCTGTATCACTTGTACTGACCACCAACAGCCCTTCTGCCTGACTCCAATGCATCAAAGAAAACACCTCATGGGAAATGGTTCTCGAGCATGCAGAGGATCTGACCAACTCCACATAACTGTCAATCCACAAGCATGGCCTTGATGGTCATTGACTGTAAATGCTTCTGAATTTCAATATGCGGTATATTATCCCACCTGAAGATTCTTTGTAGGCAGGACATATGGAATCATTCAAAAGTTTGCAAGTGGCAATGGAATGGTATCCGAGATTTCCAGCCATAGGGCAGTTTTGAAAAAATAATGCTGGATTCAAATTTAATTCTAAGAAAACCAAGATCTTGCAGCAAAATAAAACACCATCCTCACATGATTTTCATGTAGGGAAGGTGAACATGTTCACATATATCAGCTTCATGTTTACTAACAGTTATGATCTGACAAAGAAGATTCAATGTCATGGTCAACTTGCCTCTACAGCATTTGGACGGGTTTCCAAACACAATGACATGCAAAACAACTTGACATAAAAAATTCAAAATTCAAACAATTTGTTTTAAAAAAAATAAAAATAAAAAAAAAATGTAATTTTGCTACAAGATGCAATGCAATCTCATTTCTCAAAAATAATATAACTAAAGTTGAATAGTTGAATTAGTTGAAGGTTTTTTACTTTCACTATTTACATTATTCGGACTATTGTCCTCATCTTTGTCATGTTATTTATTACAATGTTTCAGTCATTGTACGCTCCGGCCTTCTTCAGGTAGTTGGAATGTCGAATTGAACCCTTTATTTCGCTCACTGGAGTAGACTGTTCTATAGTATTTACATTAGTCGGACTATTGTCCTCATCTTTGTCGCCATATTTGTCACAACGTTTCGGCCGTTGTACACTCCGGCCTTCTTCAGGTGGTTGGAATTTCAAACTGAACCCTTTATTTCGATCACTGGGGTAGACTGTTCTAGTTCCATGTGCCATGTTTACCATTTTTAATCTAATATCTTACCTATGTCTTTACAGGTAAGAATTTATCCAATCAGGATCAAATTGAAAAAACATTCAGCAAGTTTATCAGTTCTTTGAATAAAGAATTCTTTAGATCTGCCTCCCTTAAAAATCAAATTTTAAAAAAATATTGATATTAATTTTAGTTCACACTGATAAACTGCATTGTTGGCAGAATATACAACAATCTCAGACCAAGCAAATGACAGTTTGTTTTGGAGTATCAATTTCTTTTTAAAAAATTCCTCAAAGTGTACTTGCTGGTTTGTCTTAGTGGTAAGAAGAGTTTTGAAAGTCTTTCATAAGGGATGCCTTAAATTTTGAAATCAGTTCCAACAGGATTAATCATTAACTGATGATTAAAATATTATTCTGAGAAGAAAAAGTGATGGAATCTATTTTTCTATAAAGAAATGTTTTTTTTCAGAATAAAGTTTAATAGAATGGCATCAAAAAGAGCATCTGGCAGTAAATATGCTAATAAGGAATAGAAAAATATAACAAGATCAACATGATGATCGTTTCTGCAAACTAAGTGTACATCAGGACCTAAAAAGGCAGTTTTGGCTGTGAAGTATAGATGAATGACTCAGCTGAAACATTCTACCCAATTGAGGAATGGATTGTCCGAGACATTGTATCAGATTGTATACATGAACAGGAGGAATAGATCAGCTGAGACACTGTATCAGATTGTATACAGGAACAGGAGGAATAGATCAGCTGAGACACTGTATCAGATTGTATACAGGAACAGGAGGAATAGATCAGCTGAGACACTGTATCAGATTGTATACATGAACAGGAGGAATAGATCAGCTGAGACACTGTATCAGATTGTATACAGGAACAGGAGGAATAGATCAGCTGAGACACTGTATCAGATTGTATACAGGAACAGGAGGAATAGATCAGCTGAGACACTGTATCAGATTGTATACAGGAACAGGAGGAATGGATCAGCTGAGACACTGTATCAGATTGTATACATGAACAGGAGGAATGGATCAGCTGAGACACTGTATCAGATTGTATACAGGAACAGGAGGAATGGATCAGCTGAGACACTGTATCAGATTGTATACAGGAACAGGAACAGGAGGAATGGATCATGAACTGAGACACTGTATCAGATTGTATACATGAACAGGAGGAATGGATCAGCTGAGACACTGTATCAGATTGTATACATGAACAGGAGGAATGGATCAGCTGAGACACTGTATCAGATTGTATACATGAACAGGAGGAATGGATCAGCTGAGACACTGTATCAGATTGTATACAGGAACAGGAGGAATGGATCAGCTGAGACACTGTATCAGATTGTATACAGGAACAGGAGGAATGGATCAGCTGAGACACTGTATCAGATTGTATACATGAACAGGAGGAATGGATCAGCTGAGACACTGTATCAGATTGTATACAGGAACAGGAGGAATAGATCAGCTGAGACACTGTATCAGATTGTATACAGGAACAGGAGGAATAGATCAGCTGAGACACTGTATCAGATTGTATACAGGAACAGGAGGAATGGATCAGCTGAGACACTGTATCAGATTGTATACAGGAACAGGAGGAATGGATCAGCTGAGACACTGTATCAGATTGTATACAGGAACAGGAGGAATGGATCAGCTGAGACACTGTATCAGATTGTATACATGAACAGGAGGAATAGATCAGCTGAGACACTGTACTGTATCATGAACAGGAGGAATGGATCAGCTGAGACACTGTATCAGATATACATGAACAGGAGGAATGGATCAGCTGAGACACTGTATCAGATTGTATACAGGAACAGGAGGAATGGATCAGCTGAGACACTGTATCAGATTGTATACAGGAACAGGAGGAATGGATCAGCTGAGACACTGTATCAGATTGTATACAGGAACAGGAGGAATAGATCAGCTGAGACACTGTATCAGATTGTATACAGGAACAGGAGGAATGGATCAGCTGAGACACTGTATCAGATTGTATACAGGAACAGGAGGAATGGATCAGCTGAGACACTGTATCAGATTGTATACATGAACAGGAGGAATGGATCAGCTGAGACACTGTATCAGATTGTATACAGGAACAGGAGGAATAGATCAGCTGAGACACTGTATCAGATTGTATACAGGAACAGGAGGAATAGATCAGCTGAGACACTGTATCAGATTGTATACAGACAGGAGGAATAGATCAGCTGAGACACTGTATCAGATTGTACAGGAACAGGAGGAATAGATCAGCTGAGACACTGTATCAGATTGTATACATGAACAGGAGGAATGGATCAGCTGAGACACTGTATCAGATTGTATACAGGAACAGGAGGAATGGATCAGCTGAGACACTGTATCAGATTGTATACAGGAACAGGAGGAATAGATCAGCTGAGACACTGTATCAGATTGTATACAGGAACAGGAGGAATAGATCAGCTGAGACACTGTATCAGATTGTATACAGGAACAGGAGGAATAGATCAGCTGAGACACTGTATCAGATTGTATACAGGAACAGGAGGAATAGATCAGCTGAGACACTGTATCAGATTGTATACAGGAACAGGAGGAATGGATCAGCTGAGACACTGTATCAGATTGTATACAGGAACAGGAGGAATGGATCAGCTGAGACACTGTATCAGATTGTATACATGAACAGGAGGAATGGATCAGCTGAGACACTGTATCAGATTCAGTATACATGAACAGGAGGAATGGATCAGCTGAGACACTGTATCAGATTGTATACATGAACAGGAGGAATGGATCAGCTGAACACTGTATCAGGAACATGAACAGGAGGAATGGATCAGCTGAGACACTGTATCAGATTGTATACAGGAACAGGAGGAATGGATCAGCTGAGACACTGTATCAGATTGTATACATGAACAGGAGGAATGGATCAGCTGAGACACTGTATCAGATTGTATACAGGAACAGGAGGAATGGATCAGCTGAGACACTGTATCAGATTGTATACATGAACAGGAGGAATGGATCAGCTGAGACACTGTATCAGATTGTATACATGAACAGGAGGAATGGATCAGCTGAGACACTGTATCAGATTGTATACATGAACAGGAGGAATGGATCAGCTGAGACACTGTATCAGATTGTATACAGGAACAGGAGGAATAGATCAGCTGAGACACTGTATCAGATTGTATACAGGAACAGGAGAGACATATCAGATCAGCATGAGGACACACTGTATCAGATTGTATACAGGAACAGGAGGAATAGATCAGCTGAGACACTGTATCAGATTGTATACAGGAACAGGAGGAATAGATCAGCTGAGACACTGTATCAGATTGTATACAGGAACAGGAGGAATAGATCAGCTGAGACACTGTATCAGATTGTATACAGGAACAGGAGGAATAGATCAGCTGAGACACTGTATCAGATTGTATACAGGAACAGGAGGAATAGATCAGATTGTATACATGAACAGGAGGAATGGATCAGCTGAGACACTGTATCAGATTGTATACCTGACAAGGACTGAGTGAATGGATCAGCTGAAAGTGAGGGTTAAAACACTATGTCGTTGTGTGATATTTAAGCCATCAATTTATCAACTGTTGAAGCCATATACAAGCAAAAGAATAAACGACCAGAACTCTAAGAAGGCAGTAACTTCCAAGAAATATAAAGAAAACAATGAAAAAATCATAAAAATATATGGTAAAAGTAAGGATAAATGGGTGAATCTAAGTCTGGTTTTTAAATTAAAATTTACTCACATTTTTAATTTTGCAAAATCGTTAACAGAACAGGGCTTTGGAACCACAGAAGAGAACAGAGATTCTTTCCTGGATGCTGTTTCCATCTAACCTAATATCATCTGATTTACATTACTTATATTCAGACTAATGTCCTCATCTTTGTTATTATCACAATGTTTTGGTATTTGCACTCTGCAGCCTTCTTCGGGTATCTGTCAATACAGGTAATCTTTAAAAAATTCTTTCTCCATTCAGACTATTGACCTTTGTTGGCATTATCACAACATTTCAGCCATTGTACCCTCTGCCCTTCTTCAGGTCTTTGTCAATCTGGGTAACCTTCAAGGAATTTTAACTGAACCCTTTATTTAATCTATGGGGTTAGATTGTTCTCATTCTACTGCCCATGTATAGGGATATCTCATCTTGTTCTTACTTAGTACTGCAAAGTTATTACTTGTCCAGTTTCCAACAAGTCTTAGGTTGCACTACCTGGTTCAGGGATTGAACTTAAAATTATTGTGTCACCAAATTCGCAAACCAATGCTTTAATACACTAGGCTATTATGTAAATGATGATAACTCCTCATCCCAGAAATTCAGACAGAATCTAGTATCATCTCTCAAATGATATTCAGAGAAGACTTGATTACTACCAAGATGCCCTGTGGTGTAAAATTATTACAGAAATTGTGTTATTACAAGAAAAGATGTTGTTATAGAAATGTAGAAGACCTAAGTTACCTGCATAAAAAATGAATTCAACAGAATTCAGAATCTAATTGATACTGCTTGTATTCACCTGGAAAGTTATCTGTGCTCTATCCCTTTATAAAATATCTTGACAAGGGGATATTACACTGGCATGCCTCTATGATTGACAAAGAAGACAGCTTAGTCAAGTCAAGAATTCTTTGAATATAAAATTCATGTATGTGTTAAATTCATTTATTTTGAGATTGGTGAAATTGTCAAGCGATTATTGTTATGCTTCTTAAGGGATGAGATTTTATTTAACTTGGTTGATCTGACAAAAATCCTTAATCCCAGAAATCTTAAGGAGCAACATTACCAGATGGAGAATTTTATAGTGCACTTATTTTTATAAGTAGCCACATGCATAGATTTTGCTCATTAGAATGTCCCAAAATGTTATTTTTAAACATAATGCTGTTTCCCTCAAATGTCGGTGATTTTTTTAGGGTAAAATAACAAAAGTGCGTGGTTCTGGCAGAGGATTCAGTTTACATTGATACCAAATAGGATACAAATCCCAAATTATTTCAAATATGATCTGAAAATGTCACTTGTCAAACTTTTCAAAAATATTATTCCAAATTCAAATTTAATACATATTTTTTATCAATTTACAAAGATTTATATGTTAACTAGAAATTCTTTCAAAGTCATGTATTATTTACAAGTGGACTAATGTCTTCATCTTTTTGTTATTATGACAATGTTTTGGCTGTTGTGACCTCAGGCCAAAACATTGGGATAATAACAACAAAGATAAAGACATTAACCTGAATATAAACAATGTAAGCTCTTCAGAGCAGAAATTCAGATTGAAATTATTCCACTCAAAGATATAAGAATTGTGAAATATTTGTCTATTATGGTAAAATGTTGATAATATCATATTTTAACAGGTTTCATCTGTCTTATTTTAATCAATTCACCCCAAGTAAGGCAATAATGCCATTAAGAAGCAAGGGGATACTGGGAGTGAAATAAAATAAAAAAAACTTAAGAAACTAGAAACCAAATCCTAAACAGGAAAAAAAGGAATAAACCTCAACTTCTGTTCAAAAGACTGGGAAGGAGTGTGAACCTATCTATTCTAATTGAGGAAAACAAAAATTAAATAGTAAATAAAATTTCAGAGTTCAGACAGAGATGTTAGAAGTGCAGAGTTGAAATAGACTGTAGAAGGAAACCCAATCCTAAATGGGAAACAAGGGATAAACCACTACTCCTGTTCAAAAGACTGGGAAGGTATTATGAAGTGGAACTCCACAAGACAATTTTGAAAAGATTTGCATAAAATTTAACATGAAACCCACATTCCTAATTAACCCATAGCCCAGGAGAGAATCCATTATATTGTGTGTGTGTGTGTGTATATATATATATATATATATATATATATATATAGATAGATAGATAGATAGATAGATACACCTAGTGAGCCAGACAAGCCTACCTAGGTTTCACCTAAACGGATCATCAGGGAAAGTTTGGCTAACGAGGCAAAGAGAAACACATATTTATAGGTGATAGCTAAAATCATACCACGTGACAAAATAAAAAAACAAAAACAAAAACCTAAGTGGGGGGGGGGAATATTTATTCAACAAAAAAAAACCTCAGTGGAAAGTCATATATATATATATATATATATATATATATATATATATATACTTTTAATACAAAACATGCCTAAAAGACTTTAAAATTTTAAGAAGTAATTTTTTACTTATTTTATGAATTTATCATCTCCTTCCATTTTCCTTTTTGAACTTAAAAATAATGAAAACCACTTACAATTCACAACCACTCCTTTGTAATATTTCCGATTGATGAAAGAATAAGTTTAGTTTATAAGGTTTCTTTCTTTAACATGTACAGCCACCTACACAAGATGCAGCTCCATTTTGACATCTATAAACACATACATTCATATATATATATATATATATATATATATATATATATATATATATATATAATGTATGTATGTATGTATTGTGAGTAACATTGGGTGAGAAGCCAACAGAATAATAAAGAGATGACAATTAAGAAAACTTTTACTTTGATATGTTTCACCAATTATCTGGCATCATCAGAAAAAGAATTTTATTTCACTGGAACAAAATCTACATTGGCAAGAGACAAAACATGATTCATGTTAAGTAGATGAACACATAGGGTTGGGGATCAAAAGTTCACATCGTATCTCTCATCTGCCAGAGAGTGCTTATTTTTTTTAATAAGATTTCTCAAACATTCAGGCAAGTAGACAAAAATAAAGATACTGTTTAATAAATAAATGGGGTGTCTACTTAAATATGGGTATCCACTAAAAAATAATGTTTATTTAATAAAATATAAATTTGTTTAAAATTTGCTATATTTAAGGGAAAGAGGTTGTTTTTAATCATTTCACCAGCGGCAAGGCAATAAAGCCACTAAGATGCAAATAGTTACAGATTGTGAGAGTATATGAGAAAACAAAAAATATTAATTCAAGAGAACAAAAAATGAACAGGAATTAAAACAGAAGTATTTAAATTTTTGAAGATCAAAATTGACTGGAAAGTGAGAGGTGCGAGAAAAGAAACTGGTAGCATAGAATTTAGGTTCCATCTAGCCATTTCAACTGTAAAATTATGAGACTTTGCCGCCAATCTATTAGTACACTTAAATTCATAAAGTCTTGGTGCCAAAGAGGAAAGTTCATCAGAATATTTACCATGAAAATATTTATAAAAAGGTCACATGGAAACTATGTTAGATGCCAGATCAAAACCAATAACATTACAGATTCTTTTTTGTATTTTATCAAGAATCTCTAAATACATAGCAGAAGCACTAGACCAGATGCGGTGGCAATATTCAATAGGACAAATAATAAACTCATAAATATGTAAAGTAGATTATGGCAATAAAAATTATCTAGCATGACATAATCAACTTTCTTAGCAGTAAACCGAGCAATTAACTTAATATTTCCACTTCATGACAGCGGAAAATGAGAAGTCACATGTTAGCATGATTAATATTAGAAATAGAGCATTTGTAAATATATACAGTGGTCTGATGATTACTTAAGTTGTGAAACTACCCAACATACTGTTTATCAATCTATTAAAGATATGTCATATAAAAATCATATATGATGAACTCTGCTATCATCTTCAACATACGAAGGTCCAACGGTTCAGCTCCTAGAATTGAACACCAAGAATACTAGACATATGATTTGATTAATGTTGTTCACACTTGGGCAAAACCATTTGGAGAACTGGTACATATGGTATGCCACAAAGTCCACAAACAGCCCTCCTTAGGTTTTGAATTCAGAATTGTCCTTCTTTTAGACTGTTTGCTAACCAAAGCTAAAGAGCACAGTCTGCTCTAATATTTAACTCATAGCTGTGGAAGGAAGAGATGGATTTATATCTTTCCCACAAGTACTTGAATGTAATGAACCTGAGTAGAATTCAAATTCAGCTTGGCAATTTTTCATTCTGAGTCACTAACCATTACATGACTTGCAAATCAACAAAATGTATGTCTCTACACTTAATCGTTATCTTCTCCACATAAACTGTGCATCTCACTTTGTAACTCTCTACTTCAAGTGGCTCTCGGGCCTTGTACAGGATGAATATCAACACACATAAAATAAATATAGAGAAATATATTTGATAATCATAAGAATAAAGAAGAATAAATATATTTGATAATTCTGTTCAAATATTTGTCTCTAAAAGTTATAGAAATTAACCAGGAAAAACATTATTAACCAACATTTCAAGAAGTTTTTTTCCATCACTTGCCAAATATATGCATGTGAATACTAACTAGTATTTGAGGAAATTAATGAGGTCATTGACCAAATTATAAACAATTTATGAAATTTAGTAGTTTTAAAATACTACACAAGATTTTTTAAAGACACCTTGAAGCCAAAAATTCATGGCCTTGTTCAGAAGAGAATACATTTTTTCTCTTTAATACAGCAAACAATGAATCCAATGGCTGTACAGATACCATAATTATGGAACTGCTAGTTCCAATCATATACAAAAATGACTGCAAAAACATTCCCCTCCCCAAATTTATGGATAAAAAACAAATGCATGCTGGGATATTTTTGTAGCCAATAAGATCAGTCACTTTTTGTTGATCTAATCTGATATAATTTCATCAGGCAAATAGACTGATCTCTCTCTCAATTGAAAAACCATATGTTTATATAGAACTTAATGGGCAGAACCCACTTCAACTGCAGGTGGAACAGTTCAACTTATTAAAGCACAAGTTTTCATTAGCTGAAGGCTATCAGTTCAATACTTGTGCTGGGTAGCAAATACAA